CCGCTTTCGACATGTTTTATATCCACACGTAGTTATCGACAATGTTTGCAACTTTAGTTTATATTCAGTCGGCTAATTTTGATAATATTTTTTAATTTATATTTTTAATAGGCTTACACTATTAAAATCCGTTAAAAATTCATAACTCTCTCGTATGACATCCATTCTCGACTCTCTTAGTATTGTCGGGTTTCTATTAACGAGATATTCGATTCTTATTTAGATTGTTTCAGCTAAAAGCTTAACGATCTAAAACTCGATTTATGAGTTGTACACTGCTACACTGAATTTTAGAAAAATCACAACTTCCTCTAATGAATTAAGATTTGGACATTCTATGTATGCACACTCAGAGTTTAACAAATACTACGAATTTTGTTTAGATCACTTAGGCTAAAATGTAATTTATCAAAAAAATTACTTTTGACGATACAGAGAGTCGTGGCGGTTTAGTCGTGAAATTTTGAAGAAGCATAATTTTTTCATACGAAGTTGGATTTTTGCGTCTTTATATGTGTAGAATAATTGTCACACATATTGTAACTTGGTTAAGATTAATCATCCTAACTAAGCTCGTATTCAAAAGTCATTATTATGACGTATAATAACTTATTTGCCTTGCTTGAATTTGTGGGTGTTACAATTATCTCCCCCTTTAGGATGATTATGTCCCATAATCATCAACAAAACAGGGCTTGTATAATCACTCCGCACGTTTTCTTTCTAGCCTAGATGGTAACTGTAATCCTTACGTCTTTCGAGTTTCTAAGTCTTAGACTTTTTGGACCGTTGGCGGTGTTGAACCTACTTTTTCTTCTAAACTTGATCTCCATTGGATGCTCCTGCTCCTTTTAGAATAAACTTAACCTAAATTAAGATCCTTACTTCAACTACCATAATAGACCGATGAGTCATGTTCTAATGACCTCTCATGATATGATGCAACGGTTAGAATTGGTCTCATTGAGTCAGAATCTATAATATATATATATATATATATATATATATATATATATATATATATATATATATATATATATATATATATATACCTTCATTTATGTTCTAATATGATATAATCACATTCTAACATGTAACACTTCTAGCTGCTGGCTGCTTAACTTTAGCGGCGATGATGATACTTCTCTGAATAAGTGTATTGAAATACAAATTGATAATAGTATTTCAAACTCATATATAGAGAAAATAAACTCTTAGATTTGTGTCCCTCATATGAATTCAGAATGAATGACTGTCCGAAATATACAAGGTATTAGTTCGAAATGTACATTCACTCAGGTATGTCATGTATCATATTACTTTGTAACTATTAATGATTTTCTGACGATTTCTTCACAATTCATTAAAGGGAAATCTTCGAAAAAGTCCTAATACTTTAGGCCAGTTTACGATTTAGTCCCAAATTAAATTTTGTTTACAAAAAAGGACAGATTACTGGCTAAAACTTCGGATTAACCCTTCGTGGCCGGTTTCATAGATTTAGCCGGTATCTTGTCTTTTTTCGTTAATTAATCTAAATTTTGGGGCTTTTTCATTAATTAATCAAAATTTTAGGGCTTTTTCATTATTTATTACCAATAACCCAAAATATTTGGATTTTTTGAAGATTACCTTTAAACTAATATATATTATATGATCTAATTTAATATGTATTATTCCATGTCTTATTTCTTATCCTCTTCTAGGCTCACCGTGTGTTTTTATCAATGTCGTCAAACCCAACAACAAAAACTTCACTTACAAGCGTCGTTAACTCCATCAATTTTCCAAACTTATCCATTCACAACTTTATGATCATCTTTCAATCTCCAAATAAAGAACGGAGAAAATCCTTATTGATTACGTGGATGTCCCTATTACCTAACCATGACTTAAGCCTTGGTTCCAACACTTGGATGTTCCTATTACCTAACCATGAGTTGAGTCCACTCAAAGGACTCGCCGAGTCCATTTAGATTTTCATACACGCAGAGGACTTTTGAGTCATGCATGGACTCCAAACTGTAGATCTGCTCTTCCCAAGCCTATTCCTCACGTAAAGTTGCAAACTTTACGTGTAGAGAAGGAGATCTAGGCTAAACACACCATAAACTAGGGTTTAAGGCAAGGAGGCTCTATAATCAACTCAAGGGCAGTTACTTTATGTTTCACCAGGCCAAAATGAGCATAGATCCGAAGTAGCAACCTCAGATATGGTTTCTAACTCATATAAATATATAAACATGGCTTAAAAGCCCCAAAACTCATAACTAGAATAGATCTAAATGAAGGAAACGACTTAGTACCTTCAATAACTCTGAAAGGTTCCACAAGCTCTGGATCTAAGGCTAACCCTTGAAGCTTCAATGATTTCCCTCTTCCCTCTTCCTTCAAATCACCCAAAAATGGCTTAGAAACTTGAAAGAATAACAATGGGGCTTAGGGTTCGGTGTTCTGGGTTAGAAAGGCAGTAAAGGAACCTTAGGGAAGAGAATGAGACACTTGAATAGGCTCCAAGTTTGGGATTTAGGGTTTTCCTCGCTCAGACCAGACTCGTCGAGTCCCCATAGCCGACTCGCCGAGTCGGTCACTAACTCCTGAACCTGGATCCCGCTCGGACTCGCCGAGTTTCGCATTGGACTCGGCGAGTTGACCCTTTGACTTAGGATTTTCTTTCCTTCTTGGCCTACCTAATTTTGGGGTGTTACATCATGGTTAGGTAATAGGAACATCCAAGTGTTGGAACCACGGTTTAAGTCATGGTTAGGTAATAGGGACATCCACGTAATCAACAAGGATTTTCTTCGTTTTTTATTTGGAGATTGAAAGATGATCATAAAGTTGTGAATGGATAAGTTTGGAAAATTGATGGAGTTAACGAGGCTTGTAAGTGAAAATTTTGTTGTTGGGTTTGTCGACATCGATAAAAATACATAGTGAGCCTACAAGAAGATAAGAAAGAAGACATGGAATAATATATATTAAATTAGATCATATAATACATATTAGTTTAAAGGTAATCTTCACAAAAGTCCAAATATTTTGGGTTATTGATAATCAATAATGAAAAAGCCCTAAAATTTTGATTAATTAATGAAAAAACCCCAAAATTTGGATTAATTAACGAAAAAAGACGAGATACCGGCTAAATCTGTGAAACCGGCCACGAAGGGTTAATCCGATGTTTTAGCCGGTAATCTGTCCATTTTTGTAAACAAAATTTAATTTGAGACAAAATCGTAAACTGATCTAAAATATTGAGATTTTTTCGCAGATTTCCTGTGTTTTTAATATCCACTTTTTGTATGTGGTTGGAGGTTAAAGGTGTTTAGTATAAGTTTTATACCAAAATCGTGTAAAAGTGTAAATTTTTGTGCTACGATTAGAGTTGATATCATATTTTGTTAAAGAAGTACAAGTTTATTATAAACAAGGAGAAGCATCTTTATTTCTGAGGTGCAAATTATTAATGTACATCTGTTTGGTCGAAAAAGAATTTTGAGTGTTTCTTGCCCACCTCTGTGAAAAAGGAGGAACTTTTAGAGAGAAGTGATTCATTGCATGCTTGTCGGCCATTGTAGCTTCAATTCAAGAGTTCTTAACCCATAGTATTTATCTTGAAAACAAGAAAAGATTATAGAAAACCCAAAATTTCAGCTTCATAATTTCAACTGTCAACAGACGTGGCTGTGTGCTGTTTCGCTTCCTTACTAATCTTTGATTGCCCCCAAATCAATTAATATTTAATCCCTTTTCTCACTCTAATCAAAAAGGCTTTTGATTCATTGCATTTGATTTCATTTCTTTCCGCGTTCAAAAGCGCTTGTTCTTTTACCAAGAAGAAAAGCTTCATGGATCTTTCTCCTTTACTTCTGAAATGGACTTTTTAGATTGGAAGATCCCACCATTCTTGGGAAAAATAGAAGAGTGCAAACTCACACGCATCTACTTCAATCGATTTACATGCCAAATACTTCAACTCCATGAACTTCTTTCTGGAATCATCTCAAGGAATTACATGAACTCCTTCAGATTCTTTGGGAAGATTTTGATTGCTCTGAGTTAAATAACCCTAAAGGTACGCAGATCCTTCATATTGTTTTCATTTTTTGAATGTTTTGTTCCTGAAGTCAATTCGACTTTATTAGCCTCTTTTTGTTCTTTCTGAGCTGATTTTGAAATACCCATTTGGATTTATTCAATCTTTAAACTTTTTAGAATCTTACTTGGACTATTCACATGTTTGATCAATCGAAAATGACAAATTTATGCCCCTTTTCTGGGCTACTTAATTAAATCTTTAAATTTTCTTGATTTGTTTGATTCATGTAAAAGGACAAAACTTTCCCCGATTTTCTTTGTTCTTATACATTTTAAACGCTCTGCAGACTGAAAATCATTGACTACAAATCTAATCACTTGGAAGGTACCCACAATGTCCATGGTTTTTAGGTTGTCGCTTTTAGTTGCTATTTCTGTTCTTTTACCTTGCAAGGGGTTAAATTCAGATGGGAAGTTCCTTCTAGCGTTGAAGAAAAATATCACCGATGAATTAGGGTACCTCAAGAACTGGAATGCAAAAGATGACACCCCTTGTGTATGGATGGGTGTGAATTGCACATACGATTACACTCCTGTGGTTTGGTCTCTCGATTTGCATTCGATGAATCTTTCAGGAACAATAACCGCAAGTATCGGTGGTTTGAGTTCGTTAATTTATCTTGATCTTTCTAATAACAATTTCGTTGGCAAAATTCCTAAAGAAATTGGGAGTTTAACGAATTTAGAGATGCTGTTCTTGAATGGTAATCAGTTCGATGGAGTCATACCAAATGAGATTGGAAATCTAACTCTTTTGAGTCATTTGAATATATGCAATAACCAGATTTCCGGTTCAATCCCAGAAACATTCGGTCAGCTTTCTTCTTTGGTCGAATTCGTGGCGTACACCAACAATCTTGAAGGGTCACTTCCGAATTCCATCGGAAACCTCAAGAACTTGACCACTTTTAGAGCCGGGCAGAATGAGATGACCGGAAGTATACCGACGGAGATCGGTGGTTGTGAAAGCTTACAGTATTTCGGTGTTGCTCAAAATAGTTTTGACGGAAATATCCCGAAGGAATTCGGGCAGTTAACAAAGCTGACCGATCTAATTCTCTGGAATAATCAGTTAACCGGAATAATCCCGAAGGAGCTCGGAAACTGTTCGTGGCTTGAGACGCTTGCTTTGTATCAAAATAATCTCGTTGGTGAAATCCCGAAAGAAATCGGGAAACTTAAGTACTTAAAGAAGTTATATTTGTATAGAAACGGATTAAACGGAACAATCCCGAAAGAAATCGGGAATCTTTCTTTCGCCATCGAGATCGATTTCTCAGAAAACCATTTAACCGGAGAAATCCCGACGGAATTAAGTCAAATAAAAGGGCTTACTTTGCTTTACTTGTTCGAAAACCAGCTGCATGGCGTCATACCGAGTCAACTCAGTAACTTAAAGAACCTTTCAAAGCTTGATCTTTCGATAAACTCGCTCACAGGTCCAATACCGGTGGGGTTTCAGTATCTTCCCAAAATGTATCAGTTGCAGCTTTTTAGCAATTCGTTAAACGGAACAATTCCACAAAGATTTGGGCTTTACAACCGACTTTGGGTGGTTGATTTTTCCGACAATATGTTAACGGGAACAATCCCGCCGTATACCTGTCGGAAGGGTAACCTGATGTTACTGAATCTTGAATCGAATAATCTTTATGGAAATATCCCAGATGGAATTATTAAATGCAAATCGCTTGTTCAGCTTCGTCTCAGTGATAACAAGATAACTGGAAGCTTTCCTTCATCTGTGTGCAATTTGGCTAATTTATCTGCAATCGAATTGGGTCAAAACAGGTTCAGTGGTCCGATTCCCAATGGAATCGGGAATTGTAAAAAGCTACAGCGACTTGATCTTTCCGGGAACTATTTCTCATCGGAGTTACCTAACGAGATTCAGAAATTAACCCATTTGGTGACGTTTAATATCTCATCAAATTTAATCACCGGAAGAATACCTCTCGGCATTCTCAAATGCAAGACGCTTCAACGCCTTGATCTCAGCCGGAACAGATTTTCCGACGAAATCCCGCCGGAGATGGGCGGCCTTTTTCAGTTAGAGCTTCTGATGATCTCAGAAAACAAACTTTCCGGCAACATCCCTCCTGCAATTGGTAACCTCTCTCGCTTAACTGAATTACAGATGGGCGGCAATTCCATCTCCGGCGAAATCCCACCAGAGCTCGGATCACTTACAAGCTTACAAATCGCTCTAAATCTCAGCCACAATAATCTCTCCGGCGAGATCCCTCCTCAGCTTGGAAACCTCATATTACTCGAAAACCTTCTCCTCAACACCAATCATTTTTCCGGCGAAATCCCCGCCACCTTTGCAAATCTTTCAAGCCTAATGACGTGTAACTTTTCCTACAACAATCTCAACGGCCCATTACCTTCCATACCATTATTCCAAAACATGGCACTCAGTAGCTTCACCGGAAACAATGGCCTCTGTGGCGGCCCTTTACCGAGCTGTGGCGGAACCACCGGTTCCCTCCCATCTCCGCCATCTTTCCGAAGCATCGAAACTCCCAGGGGCAAAATCATCACAATAATCGCTGCGGTTGTCGGCGGGGTATCTCTCATCCTCATCATAATCATCTTATATTTCATGAAAAAAACCGCTACACAAAACCTCACCTCTTTGGAAAACGATACCGAAGGATCATCTCCCGTTTCATCCGACATATATTTCCCGCCAAAAGACGGATTCAAGTTTCAGGATTTGGTGGAGGCGACAAGAAACTTCCATGACAGTTATGTAATCGGAAGGGGGGCAGTTGGGACAGTTTATAAAGCAGTTATGCAATCGGGAAGAACAGTTGCAGTGAAAAAGCTTGCTTCAAATAGAGAAAGTGGGAACATGGAGAACAGTTTTCAAGCGGAAATCTTGACACTTGGAAAGATTAGACATCGAAACATTGTGAAACTTTACGGGTATTGCCACTACCAAGGGTCTAATTTGTTGCTTTATGAGTATATGGCGAGGGGTAGTTTGGGGGAATTGCTTCATAATGGTTTGTCTTGTAGTTTGAATTGGCCAACTCGGTTTACAATTGCTCTTGGGGCAGCTCAAGGATTGGCGTATTTGCACCATGATTGTAAACCCAGGATTATTCATCGCGATATTAAGTCGAATAATATTTTACTTGATGAGAATGCGGAAGCTCATGTGGGTGATTTTGGATTGGCTAAAGTCATTGATATGCCTCAGTCTAAGTCCATGTCAGCGGTTGCTGGGTCTTATGGTTATATCGCTCCGGGTAAACTCTTACTTCTTGTTTGCACTCATTTTGTTACATATTTTGCATAGATTTATTTGTGTATGAATTTTTTTTTTCAAATGTTAATAAAATTGTATATACCTAGGTAATTAGATAATAAATAAAGTGTTTTTTTTTACTATTCGAGGTAGGTTTTTTGGTATCCTTATCAACCAATGTGGGTGCTGTAAATTTAGCTACCTTCGTTTAATATATTTCATTTTACTCCTTCAATTATATTTCAACTTCAAATCTTTATAGTTTTTAACTAATTAATTTATTTCATTTTAACCTATGGTATAATATATATATATATATATATATATATATATATATATATATATATATATATATATATATATATATATATATATATATATATTGGAATATTAGATTGATATATAAGGTTAAGAATAATATAAAATATTAGATTCATAATAGTTATAAATATCTTTAACATTTTTTATATTTTCAAAAAAAATGTTACATTAATTTTCTATGTTTTAATATATTTATTTAAGCAAACGTCGCTATCAAGTTATATTCCTTTTGATAAATATGAATGGCACTAAAAAAACAAAGATTAGGATAAATTAGTTAATTTAAAAAAGAAAAAACATTTGAAAAGGGTCAAATCATTGAAAAAGGTTTATGTCTATATGAAAGTAGGTTTTTGTTAAATAAAGTTGGTGGAAATCTGACATGGCAAAACAGAAAAGCTTAAGAAGTTAACCTTTGTGGATGCTTATAGTTTTGGTGGGTTGTTCTCGAGAGAAAAATCTAGGACTCTACATATCTAACAGTTATTATTATTTTCATTTTTTTTTGGCAGAATATGCATATACGATGAAGGTGACAGAAAAATGCGATATATACAGTTATGGGGTAGTTCTGTTAGAGCTAGTAACAGGAAGAGCCCCAGTGCAACCACTAGATCAAGGAGGAGATCTTGTTACATGGGTAAGAAGTTACATCCGAAAGCATTCATTGGGTGTTGGGATTCTTGATAGTCGTTTGGATCTTGAAGGAGATGCACGTACATCAAATCACATGCTTTCTATCTTGAAAGTGGCAATAATGTGCACAAATATGTCACCATTTGATAGACCTTCTATGAGAGAAGTTGTGTTGATGCTAATCGAATCAAATGAAAGAGTTGGAAACCTTGTTTGTACGGTGTACGATGATCCTTGTTTGAAAGATGAACAATTCTTGTGATTGGATGGAAACTTATTGCTAGGTTTCTATTAACTAAAATGATTATGATTCTTATTTTCTTGGTTTTTGATCACTTTGTGGTTTACTTAATTTTATGAGATTGTACATAATAATGTTCCTCTTGTGTTACTCATCGTTTATATGATATGATTAACTTATGTCTTCTGATCAGATTTTCATTGGTGTGAATCCATTCGTTGTCAAATTTGCATATAATATTAATAGGTTGGTCAAATTACCAGAAATTGTAGTTGACTTGTATTGATTCCAACAAAATAAAAAAAATAAAAAACGATCAAGTCAAGATTCTCTTGATTGAAGTTGGTGTGCACCAGCAGGAGAGAGATTAGGTTTTTCTTCTAGATTGAAGCAAATGATGACTTTCTGTAACCCAAAGGGACGTGCTCCATTTTAAAAACATATGTATGTGTAATCAGATCATACGATAAATAAATTAGAAATTAGTTACTTGTAAAATACCCATTTTGATCTTCCTAAAACGGGATTTTCTCCAAGAAATCTTGAAGAAAGTCAGGTTTTTTGTTTGCATGAATAAATTATAAACATGGTTATCTTCCTTTCGTTACGAGTATCAATCATGGTATCATGAATGAAAAGACGAACGCATCGAAGAAAACACTTACATATGAAATAATGTGAACGTGAGAAAAACTGAAAAGCAAACGAGCCAACTTTTGATTCAAATGGAGTTGGAATGCCATTTGATGGATTTGCATGATAAATTCCATACTTTCGGAACTATCTTGAATTTTTCCATAATTTCAATATTTCTTTGCGTTTTATTTTACTTTCATGTTTTCTATTTTCTCTATTAGACATGGTGTAAAAAAGTATAGAAACCAAGCACTCACAACATCAATGATTATTATACCATTTGAGGATAAATAACCAGAAGGTTTTCAAATACCTCACTACAAATCACCTACACTACTCTCAGGTTTTCAAATACTTACACCGAAAACCTCACTACAAATCACCTACACTACTCTCAGGTTTTCAAATACTTACACCGAAAACCTCACTACAAATCACCTACACTACTCTCAGTATGAACACTCAACCTAAAACTAGTGATTAATCAAAGATCAACAGATAAAAGAACGAACCCCTAACATATACAAATTTTTATACAAAGAAGAAAATGAGAGAGTTCTTAGTGTGTGTGTGTATACTTTGTGAATTATGAGCACAATACACACATTAATCATATATACCCGAGTCAAGATCCGGACCCAACAACCGGAAGATTTGCGCGTTCATTCAGAAAATTTATCTCCCTAGTCCACAAGTAAGTTTAGAACTTCAAACCTTATATATTCAACACCACCGGTTAAAGTTAACATTTCTCTACCAACATTAACCCTTACGAGCACCTTCAAAACCCAAACAACCTCACAAGCAACAGACCCCAAAGCTCTATAGTAGAAGAACGAGAAACAGTAGACTATTTCTTACTTTTCCAATAGAAAAGAGAATCACCAACATAAGCCAAGTATCCAGTTATAGACCTTCTAAAAGACAGACACTTAGCCCATTTAGCATCCACATATTCTATCATCTTAAAATCCTCAGATTTAACAATAGAAATACCCTTACCAGGATCACATTTAAGATATCTAAGCAAATTAAAAGCAATTTTCAAACGAGACTTATAAGTCCTGTGCATAAATTGACTGAGTATCTAAACTCTATAAGATATATCATGTTAAAAAATCGGGGTATAGGTATACTTGTATCAGTAAGGGTTGTGAAACACTTTCAAATTAAAGCATTTCGTGGGTACACTCAAAATCTCTAATCGGATGAAACTTACTGTTTTTTTTCTTTCTAGAATGGAGAATGAAGAAGATGTTTTGAAATCTGTACCAAAAAATGAATCCGAAATTGATCATATAACAAAAACTAACTTCTTGTCTTAAAACTACCATATGTTAGTTACAGGAAAACAACTTCCTATCCAAAAACTATCATATTACTTGTCACAAACTAACATAAAACCAAGTGTATTCGACCCCAGCCAGGGACTTTGCCCCTTGGACCCCGCTCCCAAGGGCGTTGCCCCTCGGATCCCCATCAGTTTAGGGGCTTCACCCCTAAATAGCAGTATTGTTGAGATATAAATCTTTTAGATCTTACACAGGTTTGGCAAAACGAGTTAAGCAAAGTAATAAACAAGAGATGGAATCAACAATATGCTTAATGATTCAAATGATTCAAGCCTCAGCATAGCTCGACAAAGAACTTCCGCTGTAGAGGCTTTAGGGTTTACAAACGATAAAAATAATGAACGCTATTAAAATATCTCTAAAATCTTACGTACTAAGATGCATGCAAGCATCTATAAATACTCAAACCCTAACAAATAAATCACGGATGGACAGGCCCAATCCGGATACAAAACAGGGCTAAGAGACGAGCCCAAGACGCAACACCATGCACCCAACAATCTCCCCCTTTGCGTCAATTGGGGCGAGACCTCACTTCGGCTTACTTGCACCTGCAGCACCAGCTTTCTTCACGGTCTTGAACAAGCATGGAATAATGGCCAGAAGTGTTTGTCGGAAGTGAATATACCAATTGATCATGTAGTTGAAGTATTTCTTATCACTTTCCGAATTCTGCTTGCACCGATTGATGATTCCCTGAACATGCTCCAAGCAGGAAGTGGTGTAAAGATGTTTGTCAGCCAAAGCGAATAAACATTTCTAACCTTCTACCCTGGTGAACATGACTGAGTTTCGCTTTGGGTCAATCTTCCCCATCTGCATTCTATTTAAATCGCTTGTAGAAGCAACTGGAATGATAGTAGGCTTCTTTCTAAGGATACTTGCAAATTCTTGATCCAACTTGGCAACCTCCAAAATATAGCACACCAACATCCTTTTTAAATGATCTATGATCGGCCCATATTCCATTTCATTGATGAGGAGAATGTTGTGCAGGATTATCCAGTTATGAGCATTTAAATTGGGAAGATCAGCTAGAGAGATGGCGTGCTCGGTTTTGTCGGACCCCCTCAAGACCTTGAATCTGACATTTGTGAAGTTACCCTACCGAACGGGTTTGAGGACCCGAACGTTGATAATCTTCTGAGCACTCCACGTCTGATACTGAGGTTGAGCAGTCCTCAGATAGAAGTCTATAAGTTCCCTATCGACCTTCCGGTGAGGATGAGGGACTTCAGCTATGTGGGCGAATGCATGAAAGATAAAAGCCTTTCTGGTCAAGGGCATGTCAAATTGAGAATCAGCCGAATTGACCCGGTCCAAGGAGATCATGGGTTCAAGCCAAAGGGTGCTGGGGGACTCGATAGCCTCTTTAACAAGCTCTTCAAGAGTCCAAGGAGGAAATATCGGCTTTCAAGGAGATCATGCGCCTCCTTTATCTTCCTCTCATTAGCTTCAGCCTCTCCAGCAATCCGAGCATTTGCATCAAGCTCCTTCTCCCTGGCCTGTTTCTTCAGAATGTTAGCAATAGTTTCTTTATCCTCACTTTCATCACTATCATTGAGAACCTGTTTGCCTTTGTCTTGAACACTCAAACCTGATGCAAGAACAGTTGTTGGTTTGGTTGCTCTAGGAGGAACTAATGAAGAGACTGGAAGTGGTTGAGATTGAGCTTTGGGAATAGGAGGAGGTTGAGATTGAGCTGTGGCCTTTGAAGTCTTTTCTCCCCCTTGTTTCGGATGGGCCACCTGCTCAGGAAGCCCCTCAATTCGGCTAAGCAAGGCAAGGGCAGGGGCAAGCTTCTCAGCAAGAGTTCGCCTCATCGAGTAGTTGAGAATCGGGTCATGGGCTTCAATAATATTGGATATAGCGCTGTGGACATCCGGAACACAACTTTGAATCATAACTTTCTCAGATAGAAGATAATCGACCTCCTTCTCTTCTTGGGAGAGCTGATGACTTGCAAGTTGGAGCTCCGATGTTTTGCGAGCAAGTTCATCCTTTGAAGAAGATTCTGTGGCAAGGGATTGTTGGAAGTTGAGCAGACGATCTGCAACCGAAGACTGAAAAGATTGATTTTCTTCTTTGAGTGTTTGACGAAGGCTGGCAAAGTACTGTTTTTTTGTGTCTAGGGAAGTGGCCAGCTTCTCCACAACCGAGCGAACCTTTTTGGCATTAGTTTCGGCTGCCCCTGCAAAGACTCCATAAAGATGTTAGCTTCTTGAAATAGTTTTTCGACTTTTTTGGTCGTCGCAGCACAAGCCTTTGTAGATTTATCAATAGCAACAGTAGCGGAGTTGATTAAGGCTTTGTGTGCTTTGGTAAAAGTCCACCATCCCCTTAATGGCAGCTTCCGAGATATGAGACTTGGAGGTAGAGGAGGAAGCAACGAGATTATCAATCTTCTCGTGGAGTTCCTTGATGTGCTTTTTGGTGACAGGAGCATCATCATCATCATCACTTTGAACCTGGTAGGGGCTATAGTAAATGGAATCGAAGGTCATATCTTCCCCTCCTAGAAATGTCTCGGTTTCAGCTGAGTGAGTGGGAGATAAGGGTATAGTGGATGGTCTAGTTGTGGGAGTAAGTTCGGGTGCTGAAGTTGGTTTGGGTGTAGGTGTATGTTCGGGTGCTGAAGTACGATCCCTCGTATCAGATACTTTGGTTCGAACTCCAGTGGTTGTTGTAGTGGCTTCAGAGAAAATGGGTGGTGGTATAGGAATAGAAGTGGGTGGAATGTGAGTAGAGGTAGTTATAGGGGGAATAGAAATAGAGGAGGTTATGGTGGGAATGGAAATAGATATAGTAATAGGTGGAGAAGATATAGGTTTGGTGACAATAGGTACCTTATGAATAGGAGAACGGGGAGGAGAGTCGCCTCGGATCGACTCTTTAGAGTCTGAACTTTCATCGTCTGAATCACTCGAGGAAGAAGCAAGAACTAGTTTGCACTTCGGTTGTGTTTTCTTCTTCTTCGGTAGAGGAGATTGGGCTGCTTTTGTCAACTTTCGCTTCTTAGGAGTAGGGCCTTTCGCTCCTTTTGCAGCTTTCTTGATTTTCCCCTTCTCTGGTTTCTTTCCCCTGGTGGCAGGTTTGTCTGCGTCATTAATAGACTGAAGCATCTCAGGTGTCAACTCTCTCGGACCCGAAGGAGGAAACTCCTTGTAGGTTTTGAGGATCTTGCTCTCCTTGGATACACCAGCGTACATGGACTCTAG